AATTTTTAAAATACAACAACAAAAAACAGCCAATAAAAGCTTCTGTTGGTACTGTAATGGATATGCAACTAACTTTATAAATATATACAGTTTTTGTATTTAAAGATGTATGTCTGTGTATATACACTGCTAAAAAACATTTAGAGCCTGAACATGCAGCCAAAAACATATGTTTGGTAATCAGGTGGTAAATCAAATTTGTGTCACGAGTGTGTACCTCCACAAAGAACCCATTGTACGTGGGTAGAAAAGGAAATAATGCATGTTTGAAAAAGTGTCATATGGCAAAACATGTTGAAATATTGCCGACATTTGTTTTTCTGCAAAGATCAGTGATAGAAGAGGCATGGACAGACTCAGAGAAAAAGATGGTGGATGGCTTAAACAGTGGCATGGAGGGATAGTATCAGGGAAATTGATCCAGAACACCAAAGACCGAGAACTGTGGAGATGCATGAAAGCCTGCGCCAGCTGGCAAGGAAAGTTGATAATGATGATGAGGATGAGGATAATGATAATGATGAGGATGATGATGATGAGAAGGAGGAGGAGGATGATGATCATGATGAGGATGAGGATAATGATGATGATGATGATGATGGTGAAGTCGTGACTATAGTGAAAACATGTCACCCACTTCTCGGAAGGAGCAAGCAATGAGAATGTTTGTAACGTTTACTATTTTAGCCGTGGCTCAGTGAAGACGCTTGACTAATGTTGGCAAATGGAGAGCGATAGTGTGGCTGCAGGATGCTGTAGGGCTGCAAGTATATTTTACGAGTTTAGGAGTCGCCCACTCTGTCATACAAACTCAGCGTGGTCGTCACAATGGTACTGGCAGTGTTGCTGAATAACGCAGGTCAGAACGTCTAAGACCTACCATTAGACACATTTGTGGTTGCACTGGCTCTAAGACATAGAAAAAAAAAAACTCACTGCTGTGAGTGCCGTTAGGACACAACTGCGAGCAGCCAGTGGCGTAATCGGCTGTGACCAAACCAAATACGAAACCGACTGAGAGATACAGATCTGCATGCAAGGCATCATGTCATCCGACCTATCCTGGCTCCAGCTCATCGCGCAGCTTGTCTGGCTTTGGCTCGGCGTCATATGACCTGGACAAGGCATCAGTGAAGCAGAGTTGTGTCCACAGTCATGAATCTCGCTACACCAGTCTATTCACGGATGACATTAATTATGTCTGGGGGCACCCAGGAGCAGGCTGTCATGATGCCAGCGTCCTTGAACATGATCGCCATGTAGGTGGGTCAGCAAGGGTGTGGGGCAGAATTAGTGTGACCTCCAGGACATTCTAGCTGACGCTGGTGTGTTGGGAAACGAGCAGGCAAATAGACTGGTCGGTTCTGCACCACTTGCTGGTGAATCGATATATGACAACGTAGATGATACGAAGGCCCTTTAGGAGCTAGTAAACAGTGCGAAACCACAAAAAGATCATTACCCTCTGATGGGAATGGCACTGTTGGGAGTTAACAATGGATCTAGCCGACGCTCAACACTAAAGAGGAAAGCGGGACGGATTAACAGTCAGACAGTTACTCTTCGCTTGCTGCTGATGAAAGGGACGAAGCACTCATGTAAGTGTGCAGAGTGCTGTGATGTCGATTCTTAATTCAACATTTAATATTCATTCAACATTGGAACACTCTTGTATCGAGTGCACGGTAAAATGAATGGTTTGGACTGCTGAAATGAAATCTTACAGCCGCTTGTTTTTACGACGATCAGGCTCTAGGGCCCGATTCCACACTGCAGGACGAAATGCCTGACCCATAGAGCTTACCTAATGCCATCTCTCTCTCTCTCTCTCTCTCTCTCTCTCTCTCTCTCTCTCTCTCTCTCTCTCTCTCTCTCTCGCGCGCGCGCGCGCTCTCTCTCTCCCATCTCACTCTCTCCCTCTCCCATCTCATTCTCTCTCTCTCTCCCATCTCACTCTCTCTCTCTCCCATCTCACTCTCCTATCTCACTCTCCCATCTCACTCTCTCTCCCATCTCACTCTCTCTGGCTCACTCCTTCTCCCTGTCTGCCTCTCTCAGTCCGGTGGAACATGTATGGGCTGTGCCAGGACTTTGACAGAGAAAACATATACATGCGCGATGCCACAAATGACTGTGAAAACGTAGTCTTATCAATGATGCAAAGATTTAGGGAATGCATTCAAGCTCATGTGGGCACATTGGATTCTGAATCGTGTTAACTTTTCTTTCATGAATTTTAATTTTCAGCAAGAAAGGTAAGACGATTGACATCGAAATTTCTTACAAATGAAATGATTTGTTTCTCCTCCTTTTAATGTCAATGTAATGTGCAATTAAAAACCCTTCATGATATGTGACTTTCATAATTGTATTTTTTATTCAACTTTTTAGATGCATATGGTTGTAAAATAGGTTTCACAATTCCTTCCCACCTGGTTCACAGTTAAATATAGACGATGTGACAGCAGAATGCTTAACCCTGAAGGGTATTAGTGTCAACTCATCAAAATTCGTCCTTCTTCTTCTTTGCGTTCACCAGCTGTAAACTCTGGTGGAAAGTTTTGGGTGTTCGTCCACTTTTAGACTGCAGTCCTGTTCCAGAACCTGAGCGTTGCGTGTGCATCCTCAGGTTCTGGAACAGGGCTGCAGTCCAGAAGTGGACGAACACCCAAAACTTTCCACCAGAGTTTACAGCTGGTGAACGCAAAGAAGATTAATTGACCTGTGATGTTTGACGTTTCCCCAAGACCTGGAACTGCGCTTGGGACCAGTGGTCGTGCGGCAGCAAACACGCCTGACTGCTAGACTAGGTAGTCAATCTTTGATTAAACTAAACTCCCTGATCGATTCAGTTCCTGGGTCAATCCAACTCCCACCTCGATCCAGCTTTCAGGTCCACCCATCCCAAAATGGGTACCCGTAAATGAGCTGGGATGTAAAGGTAGCTGACGTGATAACTACCAAATGACCTATCATGGGCCGATTCATCTATGAGATGTGTGCTAGCACCATATACAGTAGGAGTTAGTAACATATAGGACCCTCTTTCAGGTTGTGGGGACCTAATTCTCAGATGATGCCAGTCCAGTGTCGGTAACCTTGATGGTACTAGTATTAACCCTTTGGAGACGGGGCCTTTTTTTCAGTTTCAGTGCCAAGAAGACGGAGACATCAGGAACGGATTCTCCCAATTCACACAGAATTACAAAAATAATAAAGCGTTTAATTAACATATGCGAAGATGTATATATTAGTCTAGGAAATTGAATGAACTAACACAATCTTTATGAAACAGACTGACATCCCAAAATTTATTCAAATTAGCTTTCGAATTTACATATGTATGTGTGCATTTTGTTTTAATTACATAAGATAAACATCACTAACCTAAACAGTTTGGCGAAATATGTAGATAACTTAAGATCCCAAAAAAATCCCGTGTTTTGGGAAGCAAGGCCCTTATAGGCCATCCGGACACCTCTGTCACATGGATCTACACCTGTGTCTGCCACCTGATATATTTTTGTTGCTATGAACCAACAGTCCTTTTCACCATTGTTGGGCACAGGTAACACCCCCAAAAAACGATCGATGTAAAATTACAGAACAGATCGAACTTTCACGAAAGCTGTCATTGAAGAGCCCATATGTGCAAGAAGTGCGAGAAGTAATCCGATTGACTGGTACGAAAACCTGCCAGCCAATCTCAAGGCTTGACTTATGATGCTGTCCGTCTTTTTTTTTTTTTTTTTGTGTGTGGCTATTTTGCTGTTGGGCCAATAGGTCGGTCAAGTCGTCTTCAAAGGGTTAATGTTTTTGCCAGTTCAGACAGGAAACTGGACAGTATATAAGAACCACAGTTTTAAACTGATGTCATTGAAGCTCATTTATGGCCAACAGGTATGTAAACTACTCGTTGTCATGGAAGCTCATTATGGCGACTAGCAGGGTAAACTAAACTGTAGTCATGGTAACTCACTTATGGCCAACAGAACTATAAACTGAACCGTTGTTATGGAAGAACAGTTATGGCGATCAATACTGCAAAAAAAACTATTGTCATGAAAGAGAAGCAGTAGTAGTAAATTTTACCCCACCAGTACATCACTCAAAGCGATAAACACACGGTGACACAAGGTGCCAACATGCTGAGAATTACCCGCAGAGAGGCCCCAGAAACCGCGTTCAATCCTCAGGCTATACAGAGGCCACCGGAAAAATCCAGGGTGGGGCTTCAGCATAACGAAAAATTGCGTCTCACGTGAGGACGATATTAGATTTAAGGAGAGAAGCAGGATTATGGAGAACAATTAAGTAAACTAAATTGTTTCCCTTTGTACTTGTTACATTGTTAAAATATTTATACATTAAAAACTAATGAATGTCGTAATTTATGTTGATTCAGATAAATGAATAAATGCACGATACGCACTCAAAAATAGGAATGGGAGGGGGAGATTAAAAGAGAGGGGTGAAAGAGAACAAGTAGAGCAAGAGATAGTGAGAGAGAGAAGGTGTGAAAGAGAGCAAGTAGAGCAAGAGAT